CGTCTGAGAATGTCTGACAGGACAGGAGCGCACTGGACGTTCTTGACGAGGAGGGGCACCACACCTGACAACTCATTCTTGCCTAACCCGTGCGCCAGAGCACAGGCCCAGTGCACGTCATTGATCGACGGGTGGTTATCGCCGTTGTATGAGATGTGCACCCCTTTCGTGGCCAAGACGGCCAGTTTGTAGGCACGGACGGGGTAACCCCTGTGCTCCATATATCGGGCCACAGTAAACAGTTGTGAGCTGTTCATCACACCCGTAGAGCCGGCGTCGCCTACTATTTGATAGGCAGCTTCAAAGGCGTGCTGATCGCTCTCGCAAAGGGTCAGCGCATTGAGTGCACAATTGGGCGGGTCTTTAGTGGCGCACTGGAGGGCTAGCGTTCGGGCGCACGTCGACAGCTCCTCCTGTTGGCTGAAGTCGAGTGACAACCGCATGACCGTCGAGTGAGACATTATCGAACTGGCCACTGGACCGGTAGCCTCCGTGGGTGTGAAGAGGCCGTACCAGCTCTGCATAATCGATATAAGGGCGTCGAGACCTACTTCGGTGGCGCACGTGACCAGCCATCTAACCATATCACGTCGGCGCCAATTCAACGACGACAGCGTCATTCGCATCACTTGTAGGCCTAACTCGAACGATGCCGTGAGGAGGTGTCCATGTCTGGGCCCTCCGTCTACCGGTGCCGCGATTCGGAAGGCGTCCTGAGCTAACTTAAAGAGTTGAGTTGAACTGTGAATATTACGTTGCGATGACTTCAGCACTGATCGCAAGCGATTGATATCACTTCTGGCCGCAGACAACATCGTGGAGGCCAGAGAGCACTGTTGCATCTCTATGTGCGCTAATGTGAACCATCGAGGATACCGACCCAATACCCCGCCGTGAATACCAATGCTATTGTCGTCGATATCGTCGTGATCTTCGAGTATTGGAAGCCTTTAACAGCAAACAAATATTACAATTAGTCATTGTCTTAACAAACAGATCCACTCGACTATACCTCATGGCTCTTAAGCCGACATTGTATGACAAGTCGTGATCAAAATTAAGTAAAGCGTTGAACAAATATTTGGCAAATGTATGCATTGGAACACTTTCCGGGTGAATACCAGTCCCTAAACCACTGAAGGGTCCGCCGTCCAGAAGTGTCATCGTTTGTCTCCTGAGAACTGATAATAAAGTGGAGTCGAGTTCGATGTCTTGCAATTTGGCAATCATTCGGTCCTCTTGTTTGCAGGCCTTCTCCTGTGCGTAAAAGCCGGCGGGCATTAGGCGCTGTTGACCCAAACCTATTAGACCCGATTCCATGGCTAATGTCAAATAGGTTTCACTTCGGTCTCGAGTCCCGGGCACTACTATGTGCTGATATCGAGGCCTCTCTCTAACCACCGAAACCGATAGATTCGTGTTATTATTGGCGATCGAGTCTTCGTGTAATATTGATGTCATTTGACTGTTATTAGTGTTGTTTGTGTTATTAGTAGTATTGTTTGAGATCTCAGTCGTAAAGGAGCCGTAATATGTATCCAAAGACTTGCACTCAGGAGTGAGTGAGACTTCGGCTAATGTGTCGAATAAGGAACCGATTGGATCGAGTGGGTGTCCAATCCATCCCTCGTTATTACAGTGGACTGAATGGGAATGTGTTGTCGTCGAAGTGGAACCGCCGGGTTTCGGTTGGTCTGAGTGACACATATTCTGACAGTCGGACTGATGTTTCTTTAGTGTTCTCACTATAGAGACGGCCAAACGGAGGGCTTCTTGACGGTAGCCGTGAGATCGGAGGGCTTCCACTCTGGCACAGGCGGTCGGGATGTTCTCTGCAATTATAGATCACATCATTGAATACAACGTGATTTCTATTGATTTTCAAACTTAAGTCAAAACCTCTCAATTCTTAAAATGCAAATATTTATAACATTATCATACGAGACATATATTTATTCAAATTACATGCCATTCATTAGAATTGAAAAGAATTTTTGATGAAATCAAATTTGAATTTTATGAAATTATATTTTAATTTTGCTGACAATCCGTAATATTATTCAATACTTCTCAATACATGTCATAACAATTCAAAAGCATAATTATCATAAAAATAAATTTTGCAAATAATTAGCACTATTTTTTAAATTCAATTTTTGTAGGTGTTTTGTAATCGTATGNTCCGTAATATTATTCAATACTTCTCAATACATGTCATAACAATTCAAAAGCATAATTATCATAAAAATAAATTTTGCAAATAATTAGCACTATTTTTTAAATTCAATTTTTGTAGGTGTTTTGTAATCGTATGGCATCAAATGTAAATCAAAATAAGAATCAATTACTTATAAAAAATATTATTTTTCCAGTGAATCATTGAATAAATAATAATGAGTTTATAATAAACTATTTACTCTCAAACAAAATGAAAATTATTTAAAAGATTTGCAACGAAGGCGTTATTAATATAAAACCAAATCATTTATACAGTAAATAATTAATCCTCAGATTATAATCAATCCATTTTTGGTACATTTGGACCGAATTTTAAATAAATTACTCGATTGTGAAATATGGTGTGCAATGCATACAAAAGCAAGAGTGACATACCGTTCCAAAGTGGGTATCCCTGGTAGTTGAAAGTGTCGGACGAGTGGGGCTCGTAGATGACGACAGGGCCGTCGTGTTCC